AGAAATGAAGTCCTGAACGCCAGATTAGAAGCTGCCATTTCCATCTTCAGTGCGCGGCGAAGTCTCAATAAAAACAGAGCCAGGCAGAGAGTAAGCTACCTTGTCTGGGCCTCTGTTTCCTAATTTATAAAATTAGGGAATAATAATTGTGCCAGTGTTGGCTTATTTCTCATTCCACAAGCCATAGGTAAGAAGTTTACATAGCATTATATAAAGCAAGCATCCTGGCTTCTTCGAAGAGAAAGTGGGCAGATGCGGCCATCTTCTGCTGGGGATCCTGGGAGCTCACACATCAGCTGTACTTCCAGGGATAGCCAAGAGGGACACAGCAGATCCCAGTTCAGGCAGGCAGACGACCAGAGGCCAATGATCCTGGTGACTGGCACTGCCCTGCAGAATTGGTGACATCCCAGGGGGAGGGAGAGGGGACTGGGCCCTAGAGGAGAGAGAGGCAAGGCTTCCTAATGGAGGAGAGGACATGGATGCTTAGGTCTCAGCCTTGGTTTTTCTCCTCAACCGAATTTTCTTGGGAAGACTCAGGAAAATAAATCAGCCTGGACTCTTCCCCACAGACAGAAGCACTTTGGTTTACAATTCTTCATAGTCAATCATACACCATCTGCATATGAACATGTGTTCTTTCTTTGTTTCAGAAAGGGAAGAATGGACGATTGGAGCCTTTGAACTGGGCCTTGATAACATGCAGTGGTGGACAAATGTCAGAAAAGGCCTCCCAGGGAGAGGGAACAGCATGGGCAAAGGCAGGGAGGTGAGAATAACAGAGGGCCTATTTGGGGAGCTGTGAAAACCCCATGTAGTCGCCACGAGAACAAGGCAGAGGAGGGAAGGAGGTCCAGTGTGCCCCTCTTCAGACAAGGTCAGGTCAGAGATGGGAGGGGCATGAGATTGCAGGAGGAATGAAAGCAGAGAACAATCAGCCCTTTCACCTACCACAACACTGGGACCCTGCAAAGTGGATGAGAGAGGCTGTCCAGCCAGCCAGAATGGATGTCAGGACACAGTGCATCTACAGCCCATAGTGGAACAGGAACTGGGCCAAGGAAGTGTGCGGAGTAAGGTGCCAAATCCAGAGCTATTGTTGGCTGGCTATGGGGCCCTGGGCCCCTCCTGCACTCAGTTTCTTCCTCCACAAAATGGTGGCCACAGACCTTCTCTCACTGCACCCCATTCGTCCTTCCACTATAGTAGCACTGTGCAAATCACTCTCCCACTTGGGCCTTCAGCTCTGGATACCCCACCCCTTTTCAAACCTAGAAAGGACCTCATTTCT